TTTTCATATCTAGTAAAGGGGATGGACTGGAAAGCATCGTAGTGGAGAAAGCTCCTGGTGGCCGTCTGCCTTAGCTGCTTATGCAGCTGTTTTTCTCTGGAGCCTTTCCAGGGGAACAGTCGCCTCTGTTCCATAAAATGTGTTGTTTCGTGCCTGTCTCGTGTTGCAGTGCATTAAGCCCTATCACCAATAAGCACTTGTCCAAATCCATGTAGGATGTGACCCTCTGGAATGAGCCAAATTAGTCCTTGGTGCACCCCTGTCACTCTGGGTGCTGCACAGAGGCCTGGGCTGGTGTGAAAGTTGTCTTCTCTCATCGTCCCGGATCTGCTGACATTCATGGAAATGAACCTTTGCCATGGAAAAGCAAAGCGCTGTCCCTCTGTGTCCTACAGGCAGAGCATCCTGTCACTGGGTGGGGCGGCCCACAGCTCATCAGGGGCTTGGTGGCTTGTGGGGAAAGTCCCCCCTTTCTGGGAGCATGATCCATGCCTGTAGGTTGACTTCCAGTTGATGCTTTGGCTAAAGGCAGTTCAGTAACCTGGGCAGATGGGCTTTGCTGTTTTTTCACCACTGTGTGTGTGTCCATTTCCACTGAAGAGTAGCAGTGATGCTTCTGGCTTGGCATGCCAATAGGACAACAAAGGGTGTGCCTGTGTCTGTCCAGCTGTTGTTGAGCTGGAGGCTAAAAATAATCCCCTCTTTTGCACCTCCAGAAGAGCTGAAAGGCGGAAATAAGGAAATCGTGGATTTCGGGAGTGATTGAAGCTTCTGTCTTTATCCCAAGGACATACATGGAGGTGATCATCATTTAACATCCCTTTATTTTCCAAGATTAATTTAATATTTGGGTACCTTGTGCAGGAGAGGAGTGAAGGGGTTAGAGTGGGATGACAGCAGTGGGATAATGCACTGGGCCACAACAGGATTTGTCTGCTCTTAGCTGTGCCAAGAGATGCTGTTTGTTGCATCCCCCACTCCCATGCTACTACCACGTGGTAGATTCTTTGAGCATCTAAATGCTGAGAGATAATGGTTTTCTACTTTTTTCAAGGTCAATTAGTAGATTCAGCCTTTCAGTTATAGTGGATGAGATTTTTGTGACTAGGTTGCTGTGGAGTGTTATTTTGAAGTAGGGTTTTTTTGTCCTTTTTGTTGGTGTTGTGGGGATTTTTTGTTTGTTGGTTTGGGATTTTTTTTCTTTAAATACAGTGGAGGTGTTCAGCTGTTAAACTGCATATGATTTTTCCAGAATGGGATGAGGGTGCCTAGATTCACAGGCTGCTGATTTAATAGCAGAGTGGGGGGAGGAAAGGAGGGATTGCAAGAGGCATTGTATCCCTCTCCACTTCCTCCCCTCCTATTTTGAGTCATATATTTCTGCATTATATACAGGAGATCATATCAAAATCCTGTGCCTGGCACAGAAGCCATTCTGCTATTGGAGAGGTGACTTGTGCTACCATTTAGCTCAGCGCTGGGAATATTTCCTGGAGATTTTCAAGGCACTGCCATTCCTAAACATATTCAGAGAGAGAAAGTAGCATCTCTTACAGTGAGACTGAGGGGAATCAAACTTCTGAGACTTACCAATGCTGTGTGTGTTTATATTAGTAAATATAAGTGAAAATTTCTGATACACTTAAATCACACAAAGAAGAAATCAGTGAAGTTCTGTTCTATTTCTGTCTGAAGATAAGTAATGCATTGTGTACTGTGCTTGGTTGTAGTGTGGGACAAGATTTATACTAAAAAAACGTATTTTAGGGAATAGTACAATACTTTTTAACAGTATCATAGAAACAGACTATTTACTCAGCAACTTGAATAAACAACTTTTATAAAATATGCATGGGCTTATTAGTGTTTTATTGTGAAGTGCAAAAATGTCCATGCTTTACTTATTAAGTATGAATTCAAATTGTAATAGTCACTAGGCAACTATTACTGGCCTGGAAACTTGCAGTAGTCTCATTCAATGGGAATTTTGCCACCCATATTCTTTCTGTACTTTTGCCTTAACATAGGTGCTGTTCTTGAGGAATGTGTTAAATTCAATGAAGCTTCTCTTTTGACAGAAAATATTCATGTACATCTGCAGGCAGAAGGTCAGCCATTTGCACTAAGAGGTTTTCACCAAGAAAAATGTCTTCTCTTGCTATTATTATCTTGCACTAACGTGGTATACTCTCAGTAGTAAAACAAGATGTAACATCCAACATGGTACTGATTCTTCGGGCAGGTCATAGAAGTCTGGTCATGATCTTATTCTTTCATAAGCTGCCATGTAAAACTAAACAAGACTTTCCCCCTTAGTTTCCAGCTTGAGCAAGAAATATGCAAAAGCTCTTTGTCTGTTCCTTTCAGCAACTGTTACTTGGAATAATTTGTAGGAGATGCTTTGAAAAGTCAAGTTGTCCTTTAGCTTTGTAGGGGATGATCTGGCGCTGTTAAAAGGCAGTTGATGTGTGAATGGTGATGGGCATGTCAAGAAGCCGTTGGCATTTGTTCATTCAGGATTGATTGTTTGAGACTCCCTTATGTGATGCCAGCTGTCATGATCTGTGTTAAATTGCAAGAAATTAGTTCCATAACCGGGCCCCGATGAGCCAGGAGACTGGGATAACAGGAGGGGAAAATAGGATGCCATTCAAAGTCTGGCTGCAGGAAGGTTTCTTCTGGGAGTCTGTTGGCAAGCAGATCATCGGGGAGTGGCATGGGCCCTTCGCTTGCTTAATAAAGATAGGAACATAAATGTAGTAAGAATTACTTTTGCAAGGATTTTGTACTGGTTTTGACCCCAGAAGTTTCAAAATTAAATGAAGAAGTGCCAAGAGTAAGTTCCACACCAGCAGGAAGCGTCCTCAATAAATCATAGAACAAATAGCTCTGTGATGTAGATAAATGTGTTTCTGGAGGTAACCATGGGTGGTGGCAAACATACAACCATTTTTCATGGTGTCTCTATGCAATTATGAAGATACTTTGTCAATGTGAAAGGAGGAGGGGAGAGGGCAGAATCCTCCTTAAAATGCTAACACAGTGTGTTGCAAAGCACCAGGAGGAACGAAGGATTTCTGTGTGGGTTTTGTTACTTGGCAGGGTCTGCTATGACTAAATCTCCAAAGATTGCTGTTTCTTTTTATTTTTTATTTTCTTTAAAGTTGCATTTATTTATGTATAATACAGCTTGGAGACAAAAAAAAACAAAAACAAAAAACAAAAAAAACCCAACAACAAAAAAAACCAGCCTCACCTTATTAGACCATGTATGGGCTTTATTTGTAAAATGTTTCTGACTGCCTGCTCAGCATGACTGGAAGCTGTCAAGGCTCAGTTGAATCACTCACTTGTCAGAGCTCAGAGTTCCCATGCTAATCTCAAGAAGCATGTGCAAAAAGTCTGACTCAGATCCACCAGTGATCCTCTTCAGCTGGGCTACATGTACCCTCTATATTCTTCCTTTATATTGTTACATCTGTTGATTTTTTTTTTTAATATTCATCATGCAGTGAGGAGTGTTCTTCTGAAATGGTGCATTAAATATGTTCTTTCAAGAGGAACAAAGCCAAGTGACTAAGGCAACAGCCTAACTTTAATATCTCTGGTTAACAAAACACCTAAAGTGAAGCCAAAGCAACTCACAGGAGTTTTTCTTTCAATGAGAATTTATTTGAATTATTTATTAAATTGAAAAAAGACATTTTTGCACTTCTGTGATTTGGGTTGGACAAAAGTCAGCACCAGATACTTTTTGCTCAAGTTGTTAGATCTGAAAACAAATGATGACCAAACCAAAATAAATAAATGACTCTACTTTCTGAAATTGCAACGTAATGGGAACCAGACTGGAATCCAGCAAGCCTGCAGATAGAGCCCGTGCTTGCTTTGAAACTGCAGTCAGTGTCTGGCTCTGTGTGTGGGACGCACAGGAGCGCGTCTGGCCTCTGACACAATGGTCTTGGATTTGCAGCACGGCCCAGCTTGGCTGTGCTGCAGCTTTCCTGTCCTCCCAGACCCACCTTAGCTCTCCCTGCTCCAGCCGTGGCAGAGCTGGAACTCACGGAATGGATTTTGTGAAATCTGGGGGGGTTTGGTGGGGTGGATGGGGTTCATAGGAGGTATGTAACAACAGCATTGTCCAGCTGTAAGACTGTTTCTAATCAGTGTTTTAGTAATCAGTCAAGGAAATGTAAGCACTAGATATGCTTGGGGTTTAATTAGTTTGCTTTCTGGAAATGCTTTCCGTGTTGGTCTATGAAAAATTACAGCTGTCAACTAAAATTTGGGCAGGAATCCTCTGTAATTGTTTTGGAAGCGATTCTTCCAAGGGTGCCCAAACTTAGATTTAAGCTTCTGAAGTGTGATTTTCCTGAAAGTGAAGATGTTTAGCACTGGGTGAAATGGAATAGGACAGGGTAAGTTCCCTGGCAGAGGAGGGCAGGTCTGCTGAGTTCCCTTGGCTTGTCCTCCTTACATCAGTAGGTGAACCAGGCTGTTACATCCACCCTCACTTCAAAGAGAGCAGCTAATAGCGTAAGGCTGCTGGCTTATTGGTTTGTTCAACAAATCTAGTAAATGTACGCCCATTTCCTCTTTAAAATAAAAAAAGCCTATACTAAGACCACTTATTTCTTTTCCCCTCCCTTTTACACAACTGTAATGCTGTTGAGAAACAGCTGCAAGCACTTGAGAAATGCTAAATGGGGGCTAGAAATGTGCAAGCAGATGCTCAAAAAAGTTCAGCTTTTTGCTGTTTTTTCTCTTACCTCTCTTCATCAGATGCTTTTGTGTCTGCATTAAGCACAATTTATCCTCTTTTTTAAATAGGCTGAACACCATGTGCAAAAAAAAAAATTCCGTTGATTTAAGTAAATTACTTGTTTTTGCTCTCAGTAGTGCAAGTCCAGTTGTATTTCAAGTAATACCAATAGAGTAAGTAGGAAACTGTGTGGAAGTAACACAAACCCCTGTGTCACACTCCTCCTTTTCTCTGCCAGTGTTTAATTATTGGAGGTGGCCCTTGTGGCCTGCGGACTGCCATAGAACTTGCCTTCCTGGGAGCCAAGGTTGTTGTTGTGGAGAAGCGGGACACTTTCTCAAGGAACAATGTGCTGCATCTCTGGCCCTTTACCATCCATGACCTTCGTGGACTGGGAGCAAAGAAATTTTATGGAAAGTTCTGTGCAGGATCTATTGACCATATCAGTAAGTATCTGAGGGCACGGGCACTGTTCGGATAAGGGGTTAGCAGGATCAGAAGATTGGCGGAAACGTTCTTGGTTTGGCAGAAAGTTCATCTGCCTTAACCATGTGCCAGTGCATTTGTGCACACAGAGAGGGGAAACAATGGTCTCATTTAAGTAAGGTAGAAATAGAACAGGTTAAAGACCTATGTAGGAGCAGATTTTTTTGTTAGTCTGGTATGGTTAAACAACAGGTTTTGATTATGAGGTATAAAGAATATTGGTATTTATTCCAGTATGTTGAAGGTAGACACAAATAACAGAGTGGAGTATTTTACAGGGAAATGTGCTGTAAAATTTTGTATTCTAAAACATGCTGGTTAGCAGATCTTTTAAATGTCATCAAGAGGCAGACCTCTACAAAAGCATTCTAAGAAACTCAGCTGAAATGAGTTTTGCCAACAAGATTGTGCTGCAAGAGGAAAAGGAGGCGGAAGAGAACAACATCCTGTGGTGGTTGCTATGTTTGTATTCATTACAGTATGGGAAATAGAAATGCTACCCACTTGTGTTAACAATGAATTTCAGGTCTCTAGCAGGCTGGTGGCAGCTGGGGTTGCTTACTTATCAAACACATCTTTGTCACTTGCTCTCCACAGGTATTCGACAGCTTCAACTCATCCTCTTCAAAGTTGCACTTATCCTTGGAGTGGAAATTCACGTGAACCTGGAATTCGTGAAAGTCCTGGAGCCTCCTGAAGATCAAGAAAACCGAAGTATTATTTATCATAATACAGTTCTGTTCACAGCAACTTCTTTTTGTGCTAGGTGTTACATGAAGTTGTACAAGGCAGTCAAACACCGTTTAAGGAAATAAAGAGTTTTTTGCCCTTCTCATTCAGCCAGCCTTGTTCTGTGCAGTTACAGGCGTGATAAGTATCAGTGTGACAGAGCACTGATAAATCTTAGAACACAACCCAGGCTGAGAAGCTGAGGTTTTGCACTATGCCTTCTGGCATGTGTTTGAGGCTTTGTAGGGAGTCTGGTGTGGCTTCTCGGGATCTTCTTGCAAAAACAGATTTTGATTGATAATATAAATATTGAGGATGGATTAAGTGCCCAGGGCCTCATTTTGCGTTCACATTTGATATAACTCCCACTGGCACACAGACTCTTATCAGCATTCTTATGCAAGATTTTTAAACAATAGAAAAAGATTTCTAATTTTCTTTCTTTTTTTTTTAATGTTAGTTTTTAGGATGTAATATCACTAAAATATTTAAGAATTTTAATTAAAACTCTGTGATATCTCTTCAAAGGGTCATATAGCGACAGCAGAACAGGTATGTTAGTTTAAGTAGTTAAAGTATATATAATTTTAAAACATGGACAGTACAAACACTTTCACATAATCAGCTTTGTAAAAAGAGTAAATTTAGCTTTTTGAGTATGCTTCCATTTACTTGCTATTTAGAAGGCAATTAAAAGCGCTGATCATGGAGTGTTATTTTTCCTCTTTTAGCAGCCAGCTCTTCCTTGCAGTAACCACATGTATGTACTGCCTTGGCAAGGTGGGTGTGGGGTTATTTCTGTGAGAATCAAGTGCTTGATCATCTTCTTGTGGTGTGGCTCTGGGAGGAAGTTACTGCATTAGGTGATCCAGGGATTGAGAAATGCACCCTTTATCTCAGTGCCCTTTCCTCGGACTCTGAAATCACTTCTCCATTGTAATACTGAAGAATTAATAAATATCATTTGTGTTTTCAGAGATGGGTTGGAGGGCTGAATTTCTCCCCATGGACCACCCTTTGTCAGAGTATGAATTTGATGTTATCATTGGTGCAGATGGCCGCAGGAACACATTAGAAGGTGGGTGAACGTGTGTTTTTAGCCTTACTGGTGGTCTTTAGGGTACCTTGAAAGATCTGAAAGTCAGAGGAGAACACAAAGCAGCAGGTTATCTTTCAATCCATAGAAGTCTGTGTGAAAGCTGTTATTTCATGTGGTACCTTTTGGTTTTGTTGTTAAATCGTAGCTCAAAATAAAAGACATTTAATGTCATTACTGCTTCTGAGCTGTGTGTATTTGCACTGCCTACAGAATGCATTGTGGTGCCACTGGGCTTGCTTCAAGGTTAAGTAATTATATGATGATTTAACTTGAAGGAAGCTGACAAAATATATGTTAGGAATGGCATAGCCTTTGCTGTTGTGCTGTGAATTTGCCCTGTGTGCTTGAACTCATGACCAAAAGGTGACTGCCAGGTATTTAATGAAGGCAGCAGAGGCTTTGCTTCTTTGTAAATGAGACTGAACTTCAGAAGCAGCTAGTTTAGAAACAATAGCAAAAGATAATAAATAGCTCTAAGATGTGTGGGAGTAGAGGGTGTAAATGTTTCCTGAACTTGAGTCACTGCTGGGAATTCAAACCACCTGAGCTGTGTTTCTTAGAGAGACACTGGCTAAGCTGCTCCTGCATCACAGGAACAAACCTTTTACTTAATTATGTATTTCCCTTTTAACTCTAATTATATCCAAGCTAGTTTCCATTCTCTAAGTACTCTTTCCCCCTTTTTTTTATTAGCTTCATAGTTTGTCTCCTTATTCTTTTATCTGCCAACTACAATGTGCTTACAGTTAATTCCCTATAATGCTGTACTGGAAATTTCCCTACGCTGTTGTCTGGCTGTCCCTCATAAAAGACTGTTTAAATAGTCAGGCACCAGCAAAACCTAATTATTCTTACCTCACCTGCAGACTCCATCAAGAGGTTAATGTTTATCATCATACCAGGATCTAGGGGAGTGATTGGTGCACTGAAGATATGCACAGAAGCTGGTGTTGTCATATCAAATCTATCCCAATGAAATAATGAGAGCATATCAAGAAGCACAGAGACAAAAATCCATAACCAATTTATTTCTTGTTCTAAAATAATGTATTCATATGATGTCATCTGCAGTGGGCCAAAAATACACTAGAGATCCTCTGTCCTACTTCATAATTTAATTACAGATGAGGGGAACATACAGATGGAAAAACTTCAATGTGTGATTGCAAGATTGTGGCTCAGGGGGCTTTTTTCAGTGAAAAGTGAAAGCAGAGATGGGGCGAGGAGCTTCTCAGTTGGTCTCACATTGGAAATATAGTAATTAAGCCACTGAATATTTTTCAATCCCAAGTACCTGTGAAAAATCTCCTTTGCTGGTAGTGTGTGCACCTAAGCACTGCTACACACTGTTTTTATTTTTCACATCATTCTCTGCTGCTTCTGACTGCTGATCTCTTGTATCTTTTTTCAAAAGCTGTTTTACCACCTATATAACAAATACCTAACTTGCCATTTAGCATGTTAAAAATGTCTTCCTCCACTGAAATTGACCTGTTCTATTCCCAGACACATAAAAAAATTTTTCCATGTTTTTCTTTAGTTATAGTTTTTCCTGAACTTCTTCCCTTAGTTCCCCACCCAACCATTTTTTAATGAGACTTTATCTTGAATGCAGTGCAGCTTTAGTTTTGCAGCTGAAAATGGGGAGAAAAGACTCTTTATATTGAAGGGAATTTTGGAGGAATGGTGGAATCTACTGATGGTGTGTTGTTTGAAGAAGTGTAGGGAAGACACTGAGCTGCCTTGAGCTGACCCTCCCTGAAAGTCCAGTCTGAAGTCTGCAGTGGTTTTAATTCCTGTCTTTGCTCACCAGGCTTCAGGAGGAAGGAATTTCGTGGAAAGCTGGCTATAGCGATCACTGCCAATTTTATAAACAGAAATACAACTGCAGAAGCCAAGGTAGAAGAAATTAGTGGGGTTGCTTTCATCTTCAATCAGAAGTTCTTCCAGGACCTGAAAGAGGAAACGGGTGGGTGCATTCTCATTTTTTCCACTACCAAATACAAGAGGCAGCAGGGGAACTCTATGTGCCAGGCCACCCTCTTGTTACTGGTAACATCAGTTTTGAATAAACTGTGTAAAAAAATTTCCAAGTGATAAAATATTGTTGATGTCAGAAGCTTGCAGATGGAGGTGTCCATTTATGGTACAGTGGGATATTTTTTTAGCTTGGGTGTTGCCACATCATGTCTTGTTTTAGTGTTTAAATTTTTCTCAACTGCAAAAATGTCTGCTATGTTGAACAAATTTGGAAGAGCATTTTCAGGGCCCAGAGATTTTCCCTTAAGACATGATTTGTTTTGTTTCTATCTGTTCACATGCTGAACAGCTTAAACCCTTTGAAAAAGTCTCTGCCCTTCTGGGAGGAGTTCATTCTTTCTTTTTGATGTGTGGAGCTGATAAACTGAGAAGACCTAGAATCTGCCATAAACACTAAAAATATAAACTGTGAAACACATCTTAATTGAAAGGGATTTCAGAATAGTTGCATTCACTGTCAGTTCAATCAACTCTATTCTTGATTTACAACTGATTTTTTAAAAAATTACTGTTATAATTGAAACCAAACCCCCTGGTTAGACACAATGCCAGAGCCCTAGCAACCCAAAAAACACTTTGCTCCCTTGGCACCCAGTTCTAACTCGGGAACTATTAATGCTGCAGTTAACTAGCAGTTCCCTGAAAGAATGCTGAATAACTTGTGCTGAGAAAAACTCCTGTTGGGCGAGACCACTCTCCTCTCTTGTTGTGTTTCCTAGCATTCTGTCCACTAATCCTTCATCCCAGCTGGGAGAGTGGATGCATCCCAAGAAGGAAAGGCACCTGCCGGGATCAATCCTGGGCTGTTGGTAAATGGCATAGGCAGGGCACTGCATTTGGTGACAAATGTGTCTCTCTTTTCAGGGATTGACCTGGAGAATATTGTTTACTATAAAGACAGCACGCATTATTTTGTGATGACAGCAAAAAAGCAGAGTCTTCTGGACAAAGGAGTGATTATTAACGTATGTAAAAATGCTGGTTAAACCCTGTTTTATTTACTTGGCACAGAGTAACTGTGAACATCTGTATAAACGTTGCTGGATGTTAGTGAGGGTGTTTATAGACTTAATCACTTCATTCAAGCTCAGGTTACTTGGATCTTACTCTGACATTTTTAGGATTTGCTTTTCCCTTTAGTCTGCTCAAAGTTTCAACAGAGAACTGAAAACAATACTTCCTAAATTAATCAGTTTTGAAACTGGCTGAAATGGGATCTTGACTCACCTTGGAAATACGTGGTGGGATCGTCACAGCAGAAAATAAAAACCTCAGTTATTTAAGGGTGAACTTAGCACAGCTATGTTCAGTTTTATCAGGCAAATAAGGAAGTGTAAAAACCTACCCTAGGTTAAATTGCAAATTCTTTAAAGTGGCTGAAACATGATAGAAGTAGTCTATAAACATGATGGCCTGACCTTTCAAGGGGTACTTGTGATTTTGAGGTATTTTTTATTTTTCTTTTTTTTTGGTCTTCTGTAAAATATAGGGTTTATTTTCTTTTGTTTCTAGGAAGTGTTATGGCACCACTTAAGTTTCCCTTTCTGGAAGCCCAAAAGTGTTCAATATTTCTTGGAAAGTAAGGCAGTGCCAAAACAGCCAAGTATAATTTCCTGAAGGAAGTACCTGTGGGGAACTGTCAGAAGGGCTTTTGGCTTTCTGATGGGACCACTCAGCTCAGTGCCATGATTCCCTGCCCTTTGGGAGGCCAGGGGCTCCCAGGGCAGAGCTGCTTTCCACGACCAACCTGGGTGGGAGGGAGGAAGGGTGGAACCCCTTGTGGGGAGTGGCTGGTGTGTGCTGAGGTTGTGGGGCTGGTGTTTGCAGGTGAGGGCAGTCCCAGGGGATCTGGGGGGAGTTTGGAGCAGAGGAGCAGCAGCTGTGGTTCATCAGAGCTGTTTTCCTGACCTACTCTGCTCTGAGTGGAAAAAAATCAACCGCCCCAGTGTGTCTGGTGCAACTGGGCTAATAGCGGTTCTGTGGTATCAGCTGTGATTAGGGGTCTCATCCACGATTAGCCTGGAAATACAACCTGCCTCATTAATAACCACTGCCTTTAAGTAGGATGACCTGTAAAGGCAGGGTCCTTTACCACTGTGCCCAAGGAAAAACCCAGCCCAAAAATGAACAGAAAAGCTGCTATAGCCCAGGTTTAAATGTGGTGTTGTTACTGAGATGTCGAGTCAAGCCTTGGGGCTGAGCCTCCCATGTTACAGCATCAGTGTTTCTGCTCTCCTGTGGTTTCAGATGTGGGGTGCACGTGTGCAGAAAAGCATTGCAGTGATGTGGATGACATCTTTTGATGTGAGGGAAGTAATGCTCTGAAAACATCACATTACCAAGGAGGAGCTATAACCTTCTATTGCAAACAAAGCTGCTTGTTCAGTGTGGGCAAGGAGAGTTTCAGTTTGGGGCAGTACCTGTGTTTGTGCATTGGCTTTTTGAAGGAGATTACAAGTGTCACTTGTTTCTTGTTGCTGTGAGATGTGTAGCTCCCAGTCCTGCTGTGAGACTGCAGTGTTCCAATTCAGAGAGGATATTGGAGTTTCTTATCCCACATCCTTTTCTCCTTGCAGGACTCCATTGATACCGAGCTGCTGCTCTGTGGGGAAAATGTGAACCAGAGCAATTTGCTGTCCTACGCCAGAGAAGCTGCTGACTTTGCAACCAACTACCAGCTGCCTTCCTTGGATTTTGCAATTAATCATTATGGCCAACCAGATGTAGCAATGTTTGATTTTACCTCCATGTATGCATCTGAAAACGCTGCGCTGGTGAGAGAGAGGCACAGACATCAGCTCCTGGTGGCTCTCGTTGGAGATAGTTTGCTTGAGGTATATCTTGGAATGCCTTCCAAGTAGTATTTTCAGGTTTTTTATTTTATTTCCTTAATCCAACTATTCAATCTAGCCTCCAATATAAAATGTTCTCTTTTACATGTCCTGAAACAGTGGTACCTTCTTTGGATTAGATTTTTTTCCCCCCTTTTTTCTTTTCTCCTTTATTATGCCATAGTTTGTCATAGCTAATGCTTGGCTGACAGCCTGTGGCCGAGATCCCATTTTGCTTTATGCAAGTTGTGTTTCTGTCTGAAAACTGTGAGCTCCGTGTCCTCAGCTTGGGTGCATGGCATAATTTTACTGAATTCCATCATAGACAAAAACTTGATCCAAATTATTATTGCAGTCTCTTTGCCTTAGTGTGTGCCTTTTTTTTTTTCTTTCTGAAGTGAAAAGTGTATGCTGCAACTTTTTTTTTTTTTTTTAATTCATACTGACAGCCTGAGGCATTTGAAAAGAACAGTCCAAAGCAAATTTAGGAGGTGAAAAGGGCATCTTTTTTTTTCCCTTTTTTTCCTTTAATAATTCTTGAGTCTTCTTTTTTTTCCTCAGCCTTTACCTTTTGGGGCTAAGAAATTTGTTTTTATATATAGAAGTTAAAAAAAAGGAAAAAGTGGAAAAAGTAATCTTTTCTCCCTGCCTAAGACTTAAAGGAGAGGCACATTTAAAACCTGCAAGTATTGCCCGTGTTGCATTTTGACTCTTTCTGGGCTATTTTTCCATGACAGTATGAAACCCTGGAGTCCAAATTTGCATTGAAAGTTACTTTTGCAGTAAAAACTTCAGAAGTGCAGAGAATTGAAGTGTAAATGCTTCTTGCAGCCGTTCTGGCCGATGGGTACTGGCTGTGCGAGAGGCTTCCTGGCTGCCTTTGACACCGCGTGGATGGTGCGGAGCTGGGCGCAGGGGAAGCCCCCGCTGGAGATCCTGGCTGAACGGTGAGTGCTGCTTTGGGCCCCAGCATTTCCAGTGTTTTAAAGAGCCACAGCAGTGCTAGAAGGCAGTGGATTTCAGAATGCTATCAGGAGAAATATTGTTAGGGTTTAAATCACTGATTTATGTCACTTAAGTGTGATCCTTAAAGACCAAAGAGACCTTTTATCAAAAATCCCAAACCTCCAGCCATCTCAACACCTGGTTTTTTATCATTTTAAAAAAAAATTCAGAAAGGAGTCTGAACAAATTCTTCAGCAGTAACAGACTTCAGAGTTGGTCTCTCTGATTTTAACTCTGCATTTTGGTGTAATGGTGCTCTCTTTAGGCTGATAAGCATGTGGAGAATTGTTATAATGCTGCACCAGAAACTTTTTTTTACTGGAGCAAGAAAATCTGTGGCTAAGTACAGCAGCAGTCTTGGTGTCACCATGGTCTGATGGTTGAAGTTGCTGACTTAGGTCCTGCTGGCAGCCACCCTCCTCTGCTGCAGCTGCACAGGCTGTTTTGGGGCAGATACATAATAGGGAGAGTCATGGTTGTGGGAATGCAAGCAGGAGCTTTACTAACTACAGCACTTTGGAAATTTTTAAGATAGAAGCCTGTGGGATGACTCAAACATGGCCTAGTCCCAAATGGAAAATTGAACAGCATAGAAAAAAAACTGTGGTGGTTATCGGAATTGCAGGATGACAGGATTTAGTGCTGTTATGTGGTAAAGAAGTTACTTCTTTAGTAGATGTTAAAGCAAAACCAGATGACTAGATGATGTAACCTCCTTTTTTTTTTTCTTCCTTTTTCTTGCTCACTTCCTTCCTCAGGAAAATATGGGCATAAGCTCTATGTGTCCGTCTTGTCCTTTTTCTGTCTGGCATCCTTCTGTTGAGTGGGGATAAGAAATGGGATGAATGCATTATGCATTTGGTCTGTAATACTTGTCCTGGCAGAACCAAAATAAGGTTTAGGTAGCTGCAAAAAACCCCAATGCCTTATAAATAAATATTTATTTTAATACATAACTCTTGCATCTTTTTCCTCTGCAAGAGAGAGCATTTACCGACTCTTGCCTCAGACGACCCCTGAAAATATTAATAAGAACTTTGACCAGTACACCATTGACCCAGGAACAAGATACCCGAACTTGAACTCGAGCTGTGTTCGACCTCACCAGGTCAGTACTTAAAAGGCTTGCTTGTGAAATCAGTTCTTTTTTTATCAAGGGTAAATAGAGCTGCAAGGAGTGTGTAAACAAAATCTTCAGGAGACTCCTTAATTTAGAGCCAGCTGCTGATAAAGTTAACCTGGAAACAAAACTGGTTTTTTGTCTGAAGTTATGCTGGTAATTGCTTTTCCTTGTAGGTGAGACAGTTATATGTTACCAACGAGCTACAGCAGTGTCCTCTTGAGAGAGTGAGCTCCATTAGAAGATCAGTGAACCTCACAAGACAGGGTAAGTGGCATCTCCTGTTTGCTCTGGCTTAACATTTATAGCCTTCTGAGCATGCAAAAGCTGACTGAAATGTTTGCTTTCCCATTTGTGCAGAGTCAGATATTCGGCCTAACAAGCTTTTGACGTGGTGCCAGAAGCAGACGGAGGGATACCGAAACGTTAATGTCACTGACCTGACCACCTCCTGGAAAAGTGGCCTTGCTCTGTGTGCCATCATCCATCGCTTCAGGCCTGACCTCATGTAAGTGACATCTGTGGAGCTCCTCAGGTGAGGCATTTGCGAAGGGTAGCATCAGACCAGAGCAGCCCTGGCACTCTGCCGTCCCTGCTGTGGCTGCTTTCTGCAAGGAAGTGCACACATAGCCAGGTTTGGAGAGGGGAAGGGTGGGGTTGGGTTTGCTTTGTTTCTTCTGTATGTCCTTGCATGCTGTTTAAAATGAAATATATGTGCCTTCAAAGAGCTAGGAGGGTTTTGAACCCTATGATTTATCATGTTTGTGGGAGTCATGTGTCTATTTAAAATGAAATTTGCAGTTCTGGGGGAATGTGTAGAGCTGCGTTCCCAGATCCCTGGAGACAGGTTTTGGTGTCTGTTTGAAGCCACGGCCATGAAGCACAGTCCTGAGTTACAGAAATGCTGGGTGAGCCTGAAGGAGCCATCCTCCATGTGTTGTACTGGTTGCTGTGACAGTCAAATAGGGAAATGTTGGACCGTGGAGATGGAAGTTTTGCACAACTGTGTCCAGGAGAGCACAGAGTCCTTTCAGTGGGCAAAGCAAGGGCTGGGCCTTGAAAACTAACTGCCCTAGAGGTTGAGAGTAAGCCAGCATTCCCCTTTTGGCACAGTTTCTGGGGTCCTAGTGCTGCATGACCCAACTGCATGCATCTGAATATTTTGTAATGTCCCATAGTTAGATACAAGAAGGTCAGTGTGTAACAGGTGTCAGGAAATGGCAATTGCTGACACTGCTGGGTGCAGTCAGTGGGGTGACTCTATTGTCTCACCAGTCTCCAAAATGCAGTGGATGCATTCTCTTGTCTTCCTGCAGAGCCTTAGGAGTCACACATGAATTACTGTCAACCTCCCTTTATTGTGGATAAATGAATGATTGAACTTTTTTATGAGGTGTGATAAATTGGAAAAAAATAGGAGTGGTACCTAGGGTGCTTGTTTGTGCAGTTTTGCCAGAGAAAGAGCTGAGATTTTAAGAATAGGATTTTTTTTTGCCTTATGTTTGTTTAAAAGAATTAGAATTCTGGATGCTTTTGGGGGAGAGGGTACAGAAAGCAAAGTAATCTTTGCTGCCTGTGGAAACCATGTTCTCTACACTGCTCTCTGCAAAGTCGATAAATTTATCTTCCTGAGCTAACAGACCTCCTGCTGTTCAATTAATGTTGTGTTTGGATCTTGTTGGCTTTTTGTATTCAATGAGCCTGCAGAAGGACTTGGCTGGATGAAAGCTAGGCAGGCAAGAGGGGTGGCTGCCAGTGACAGCCCCCAGCTCCAGAAATGGGCAGTGGGTGGATGAGAGAAGAGGAGAAATTCTTTGGGGATTCAAAACTCACATTCCACTGTGAGGAGAAAGAAACTACCCTGCCTGGAGCTTTGTAATTTATTCACATGTTTATTTTAATCATGAATTTTGGAAGCTGTTCAAAAGATCAGAGTCTTAGAATAGGTCCCATAGAAAATGGATTAGAGAGTGGATAACAGAGTTCCAGATGTGTGATGCACTTATTTAGTGCACTGCTAAATTCAGTTATGACCTGGACAGGAGGTCCCTGCTCAAACTGTGTGTGTAACACCTTAAAAAAGGAAAGGTAGTGCCTGTGCATGTGTGTGCCTACACATATAATGTGCTACTTCCATAGAATGCTGTCCCAAATGTATTCCTCCGGGCTTTGATGATTTATAAAACTAATTAAACCTAAGTAATCTGTTGCTAATGGATGAAGTCTGTAGTAGTTCAGCTGTATGTGGAGAAAGAAAAGGTTTCTTAGCACTTCTGAGGAAGAATTGCATCTCTCCAATAAATAAGGATGTTTTTTGTGGGACTACATCAAGGTCCAGTTCAGTGAAAAAGCTTTTAAATTACGTTTCTGACAAAATCAGTATTTGTAATAACAGTATCGAAACAGGACAACCCCCATGGGAAGGAGAAATGATGAGGAGGAATCCATGGATATCAGAAGGCTAATTAATTACTTTATTATACTATATTATTCTATATTATATTACATTACATCTAAACTGAATCTGCCAAGCACTCAACTCTGAACACAACTGCACTCATCTCGTGACTGTCCCCCGACAGTCCCGATGCACGCACACACGCTTGGCTCTGATGGGCCAAGGAAACAAAACACCCTCACTTTGGGTAAACAATCTCCATATTGCATTCTACTTTTGCACAAACGCAGGCACAGCAAATAAGATAGGAATTGTTTTTCCTTTCTCTGAGGTTCAGAGAATGTGAATCTCAGAAGTCCTTGGGAAGAATTGTGCCTTGCTTTTCTCTGTGAAGAGAAATGCGGCCACATAGCGGCATTGTGCGAGGCTCTTTCCTTTGGCACTGTGTGGACTCGGTAGCTTTGACCCAGCGAGATGCCTGTGCCCTCATTCCCGGTGCTGCTCTGGCACGGGCACGGGAGCACTGTGCGTTCCCGAAGGGAGCAGGGAACGAGTGACGCCGCTGTGCTGTCCCCGCAGCGACTTCGAGGCCCTGAACGAAGAGGACGTGGTGAGGAACAACCAGCTGGCCTTCGACGTGGCCGAGCAGGAGTTCGGGATCCCGCCGGTGACCACGGGCAAGGAGCTGGGCTCGGCCGGGGAGCCCGACAAGCTCAGCATGGTGCTCTACCTTTCCAAGTTCTACGAGCTGTTCCGCGGCACCCCTCTGCGCGCAGTCGGTGAGGCACGGCGCTCCCTGAGCTTCGGCACGGGGGAACGGGCAGCATTCATCCAGGCTGCTGGCGAGCACTGCTCTTGAGCCAAGAGGCTTTTCCCGGCAGAGCCATTCTGGCCTGCAAGAGTTACCTCGGGCTTAACACAGGAAAGGGGGAAAATTTTGATTGAACACCAAGGTTTTGTGGGTCCTTGGTGGTTTCAGGGAGTAGGAGCAGCTGGATAACTGCTGCTTGACATCAGCAAGGGCATGCATCAAGTTGTTGGTGGGGTTCCCTGGTAGGGATGCCTGCACACAGCACATTCATGCTTGTGTTTTTCTCCCTCTTTTTTTAAAAAGCCACCCTACATTGTATGTATTCACTTTTATTTGCCTGTTACCAACACTCAACTGGAAAGCTTTGGCTTAGTCAGAATAATTTAAAAACAAATGTAAGTAAATATCCTAAGCAGTTGTTTTTTCAACAGATGCTGTTGACAAGCAAAATGAAGAAAATAATGATCCTCATTTACCAAAATCGAATTTCATCTGTAATAATTATATCAATTTAAGTTTAAGAAGAAAACGAGTACCAAAGGTGAGTTGTGAAGCAAGACCTGCCCTATGAATATTTTTTTTTTCTGAAAAGATGAAAATAAACTTTCAGGCTCAGAAATAAGGGATTTATATATACACTGCTATAATTTTCTGAGCTATTTCTACCTGTAAGAAAAAGAGTCCTGTAGCTCTGTATTCCTGGAGTTAAATATACAGCCATTTTATTATATACTAGTTCAAATAATCAGTGCTATGCTGCACTGTTTGTTGATTGGGAGGGAGTGCTGCTTTTTGAAAAAAAGAAGTGATTTGCACAGTTTGTGGATGCTGTCTGGGTTCTGACTCCCACAGAGGAAACCTGCAGTGGTGACAAACAGTGGGCAGGTTGATCAGCAGCTTTGGGATAACAATCTCTTAGTCATGCCCATGTACTTTTCTCTCTTGGTTACTTATTAATGAAAACTTACTGACAGGCCCTGTTATATCCCTGTATTATAAAAAAATCCATGCCCATACATGCTGTGATTAAGGACTACAGAGCCTTGAAGCTTTGCAAAGGCCTGAGTTAGCACATGTACACATCCACTGCATTTCTCAGTGTTTTAATATACTGCTTTTTAAATTTGGTGTTCTCTTGTCTTGTAGAAATGTGATTTCTATTTTTTTTCACCTGAATAATTACTCCAGAATTTCCAGATACTTCCTACACTGACTTTTGTCTTGAATTTTTTTTCCATACGCAAACCCTTTTACAAAACCTGTGGACAGTCAATTGTTCAGTAACTTCAAATATCCTTGTTAGGAAATAATTATTTCCTGCCACCCACATATACACAAAGCTAAGTGACATGGTTCCCAGATAGCCAAGCTGTGAGAAACCAAACAGGCAGAATAAACTTTGCTTTTTCTTGTGGGTGACTTCTTCAGAAGGGAAACCTTTATCATGACCACAATGTTGTTTTTCAGTGAGTTGTTTGCAGAAGTAAACAGACTTTTAGCAGTGGGGAGAGCTTTCCATTACTGAGCCATAGAGCCTCTGATTAACCTCCTGTCATGAAAAAAGCCTTCTGTCATAGCAGGAGCTGGAGTTCTTGGCAGTACATGAAAGCACGAGGTGATTTGCTTGAAGGGCCCCTCTGGTTTCACACTACGGGAGCTCATTGGAAGTGGAAGTGTTATTTCCCAAATCAGCTTGGGAAACAAGGCATTTTGTGCGAGGTTTTGCAGCTCTGTCATGGATGGGCTGTCAAACCAAGCAAGGTGGGTTAGGGTACTTGGATTAGGACAGACTTGGGAGTGCCACAACCAGCTGAAACTAGCTGGGAAATTAAGCTCCTTGGAAAGCAATTGCTCGAGTTTGGGGTTTGGCTGTGGCTTCAGCTTTTTTAGGGTTCTTTCCCCTGCAGAAAGTGGTGCTGAGCATTATCCAGGTGTATATATATCAAATGTTCTGTCCAGGCTTTAGGAGAGCAGAGAGTGTTGCTAACTGAGCTTCCATGGCATGTAATTTGTCCTTGGATTGGGCTGGAGGAGGGATCCTTATCTGGGCGCAGGCTGTGAGAGACCAGGAAGGGGGGCCTGGAGCTGGGGTGGCTGTGGCTGTTCTGGCAGCCTGTGCTGAGCTGGATCATGTTTTCCATTCTCCTCGGAGTGTCAGCCCGGCTGGAGAGGAACTGAGATTTCCTGTGCTCCAGACTAATAAATGAATGGAGGTGTTTACACAATGCAGGGCGCAGCCCTTTTGGAGTCTTGCTCGGCAATTAAATTGCTTTGTCTTTCACTTCTTTGTCAGCGTGTTAATGAGAGTCCTTTCTGTCCCATTTCTGAAAGGTAGCATCTTGCTTTGCTCCATTCACTCAAGCAAAAGCTGCTTTTATGTGGCCCAGGCTATTGTGCAGAACACATTGTGCTGTTCTGTGTTCACCCTTTCTGAGTGGACTGATGACTGTAGGTAGTGCAGAGCTGGGTTTTGCTGAGCTGCTGCTTGAAAGACAATGTAGCAAAGCAAAGTAATTGAAATATTGTCATCTGATTCCTTTGGTGTCTGCCCACAAGTTGTTTGGGATTACTCGTCTTCACTGCGTAATGATTTATTACAAACAGTCCATATGTAAAAAGGAATCCTGCATTCTTTGATCTTTCTTTATTCCTTTTTGGGGTTTTTTTAAGTTGGCTGAGCAGGCACTAAGTTACAGCATGGGCAAATGCCAATAAGTGGAATATAGTTTGTTGTTCATAAATTATCACTGTATCAAATCTTCACGACTGAATGTTATAAGAAGTGATAAAAATTTGCCAGCATTGACTGCTTTTCAAGTTTGTGCAGACTGAGTATGAAGTATTACTGATTTGTGTAATCTCTAGTTGAGTAAAATAATGAAATATGTGTGTGGCTTGAACACAAAAGAAGCAGTTTGGTTGCTTAAGTATTATAACGTTCAGCCCTAGTCAGGGAGGTGAACCTTATGAGGAGACAGATCTTTAAAGCAGCCAGCAATTGCTCAAAAAAGGAAGTATGACTGTGCTATCAATTCATGATCTGCATGCAGACACATGGTTCAAGAGAGATTTGGGGGTTATAGGGAAAGAGTGAGGGATTTCTGGATTTTACTTCTTTGGAAAACAGTACAGTCTAGCTGAAAATTCACAGAATAACTCATGCTGTAAAACCTTTTTGTACAAGGATGTGTTAGTGCTTTATGATTTCTGAACTCCTCAGTACTGAAAGAGGCAAAGATGAACACCAAGTTGTAGGGCTGCTCAGCGCAGCGTGCAAGCATGTGTTCTCATGCCCTGGAGTCCAGTGAGAGCTCCCAGTCAGGGGCTGTGTGGCAGCTTTTACTGCCCTGATAGCTGCTGAGCTGGGGGCTCTGACGGGGGGGCAGCAAGAGCCCCTGATGCTGGCGCTGCTCACCTGGCTTGTGTGCCTGGCTGAGCACAGCCCAGACCTCGCCTGCCTGGGGCTGGAACTTCTCCTGGGAGGAGCTGCTGGGGTACGCTTGGGAATTGCTGCAGTAACCCATGGAACTTGTTTTGGCTTTGCCCTTTCAGGCTGAAGGGAAAACAGAAGAAAATGAGACTAACAAAAGGCGTCGGAAAGGACTCTTTGGTGTCTTTGAGCAGGTTGGTGTTCAGTGGTGCCCACCCGTGTCCAGCTCCCTGATGGGCACCAGAGCTGAGGAAGCGTTGCGGGGCCAAGGTTTGGCCTCTGGAGCATGGCAGGGAAAAAACCTCTCCCTTGAAGCCTTGAATTTACTGTGGTGTGCACTAAAGAAGAGCTAAATTAATTTTAATCGTTTGGTAGGGAGTAGAGCATTAACTAAATTGCTCTAGTTTTTGTACTGACACAGAAACATTTAAGGTATTGGGTTTTTTTTCCTTTTCCTAATTGTCTATTTAGACAATTTTTTATTTGAAGATTTTGCATTGCAGCTTGGTTTCTAGCCCTTCTCTGATTAGTCACCTTTGTGACTCTGCTTTATGAATACCAGCACTGATTAATGTTCCCTTTTACTGTGCTGTGGGACCCACAAAAAATACTTTTTGGCAATTTTTGCATGCTAAACATGTCATTTTAATATACTGCAGACTATTATATATATATAATATACTATATTTCCTTTCACCCTTTGCTGAAAAGGATGATGTATTTCTCCTCCTCTCCCTTCATGAGTGTTGTAGGAAACATAAGAAAAACACAGTTTGTTGTTCCCTTGCAGACTTCAAGCTTTCCAAGCCAGGGGACAGGCAATGGGAAAGAACAGAGTGATGGCAGAGAAGGAATGAACCAGAACAAAGTCAAATCAATGGCAACTCAGCTGCTGGCAAAGTTTGAAGAGAATGCTTCAAATACAATTCTGCAGAGACAGGTAGGTCATAGATGAACATGAAAGCCATCTCTGAAATTGAACTCTAGTCCCTCCTTGTGAAGGTGATGCAGATTTCCCAGGGAAGACAGGAGTCTGTTAGGGATCTTTGAAGTGGGTTGTCTTTTTTAATACTTTATGCAAATTAGTATTTCTTTCAGTACTTGGTAAACAAATACAACTCATATAGATTGACTAATGCGTCTAACAATGACGTATTGCTGTGTTACGGTGTCTAGAAGTCTCATGGAAGTGAGCCTGTAGAATTTATGTTATTTGGAAGTCTAAGGTGGCTGCATACAGTATTGCAGAAGGCCTGTTGTTGCTTATATTTTTCAAATAAAGGACACTGCATAGCCTGTGAAGTCTGTCTTTATGGAAAACTTAGGGAGTGTCAAAAGGAAACCTAATCTCTGGCAAGATATGTCTGGCTGCCATTTCCATTCCAAAACTAGGCAGAGTGGAATACATTTGTGCATTGTACAGCGTTTTCATGGTTTAGTGTGACTAGAGGTATTTTAAAAACAATCCCATGCTGCCAAGGTAGAGGGGAGAAGCTCAAAGTCACACTTCAGCCAGAAATAGTTGGAATCAGCAGAGTTTAGGTCTGTCATCTGAAAGATTTGAAGGAAGGATAAGCAAGTTGTGGATGTTTTGACGAAGATGGTGGCTTTCTTAATTCTTCATACTTGTATCTATTTGTTTATTTAAATATTTAGGTCCTCCAGTAGTGTAGGCTTTATAGATGTCCAGCGACTTTGTATATCCTTGAACCAAAATTGTTTGCACACTACCTGGGTACTTGTCTGTGCCCTGAGCTTTCAGTGTGTGATAAGTGGCCAGAGATTTCCTTGGCCATGCTGGAGGAAGTTATTTTGATCATAAACTCTGTTAAAAAGTACTAAATGTGTTCAACTTTAAGTATATCTTTGATGTTAGAAGTTGCTAATAAAATGGGTAGGTGGCAAAAATATGCAAAACGTGTTGTTAAGCTTCATAGTAATGCATCTTTAAAAAAAGCTTTTATTTCTTTCTGCCTCAGAAATTCTTTGAATCCTATTTACTGTCTTCCTTTTTTTTTTTTTCCCTCCTTCATTCTGTCTTTGCAATTTTAAAAATGCTTTACAAGGAGCTAACAGATAGACCAGCCCTGCTCTCCTCTGATCCTCCTGTTAATCCTCGCTTTGCTAAACCTATGGATCCAAGCCTTCTTCCACCTCAACCAAAAAGGCAGGTAGGAAGCTCCTATGGGTAACACCTGGCAAGCACAGCATTTCTGTCACTGCTGGGAGCTTGCTGTTATTGCAGCATGAGATACAAAGCAATATTCAGATGGAAACTGCCGAGTTCACAGACAGATGTAGCTGAGAATTGTGAAAACACCATTAAAAAGTAAAAGCTATTTTGCACCTGCTTTGCCAAATGAGAAAACTCTCTGAAAGTGTGGAAATACCCTGAAAACACAAGTGTTGATTTCTTTGTTACCATACCTAGACTCCAAATTGTATGAATGTAATTACATAGCTACATTTAACATGTGAGAAAACTACAGCAGTACCCGAAAATTTGTGCATATACTTGATGATTTGGGCTATTGTAATGATAAGGCTAAGAGAGAAACCTGGCAAAAATGTATAAGATAAAAGCTTGAGCATTGAAAAGCTGATATTGGTGCCCAGGTGTTTTATTTCTATAAGTAGAACTTGCAATAAGAATTTCTGCTGAAAGCTCTTTTGCAGCATCACATATATGGGGAAAATTTTTTGACAATGTAGTCTAAATTTTTCTCTTAGTACTTTCACTGAAAGCAATCTCATCTCAAACAGTATTGATACTCACTTCAGAGTTTTAAATTAAAGTAAACATCCTGTAATGGCACTTTAAGAGCAGTCTGCAGTGAAATGAGATCTGTACTGCATGTGAAAATCTGCAGGTCAGAAGCTATTTTATATGAAAAGTCAAATTCAGAGATGTGTTCTGAACTCCTCAGCAAATGCCTTAAATCTGAAATACATTGTGTACTGATTTGGATCAGACTAGATCTAGAACTATGGCAAAAATTACTGTTGAAATCCTCGTAAATATAATTTGATTACAAGCTGAGTTTCAGGGAGATGTGCTGCTAAAAAACCCCAACCCAAGACCTTTGCTGTAAACCCTAGAAAAAGATGTTCTTCTGCACTGCTGCTGTCTGAGGTTTTTCACAAAAACTCGGAAGTGTAGAGAAGGATGTCAAGGCCTGCACAAGGATTTATTTCAGTGCATGTGCACAAGCACCAGAAGTGCAGTAGACAGTGTGCAAAGAGTGGTGTGAGAACATTTGATGTCTAGTTATGTGCATGACTGTGCCGTTCTTTTGGAAGCATCCTTAAAAGCTGCATATACTGCATGGTAGTGCAGAAAGCAGAGTTTTGTTCACTTCAAGTGTTTCCCAGTTTCAGGTGGTAGCTAGGAGTGAACACGAGGTCAGGGAACCCAAACAGTCTTTAAATGGTTCTGATCATATGGCCAGGAGAGCAAAGACTGTGCACAAAACAGATCCCCAGCCCAGTCTGTCAGAAACCTCTGAAAATCTCGCGTCTGCCCGTTCTGCTGCATTTGTGCTTTCTGGAGTGCTTGAGCGTCTTCAGCACCTGGAGGAAAAAATGAAACAGGTGACAAACAACTTCTTTTCCTTTCTGTCTCTTAAATGCCTATGATAATCTGTGTACTGTGGTTTTGCTGGCTTGTTCTCTGTTGACTGTAGGTTGTATTAAGACAATAAGTCTTCCTGCAAACTTCTGTGTTTTGTTGATAGATGTGATTTTAACTGAAATCTCTCTCTTTCTTTTCTTGGCTGTCCTCCCCTGGCTGTCACTGCAGAAAAGAGCTCAGACCATAGCAAATAGGGAATTCCATAAAAAGAACATTAAAGAGAAAGCAGCACATCTCGCCTCAATGTTTGGATACATGGAGTTTCCGAAGGTGAATTTTAAGTTTTGCACCTGAAGAACTGCTGAATTGGAAGATGTATAAGAATTCACGAAGGGAAAGAAATTGCAGTGGTTTTGGTTTTAACTTTCTTTCATTCTATGTGGATCTGAAAAGTAATGTGGATTCCACTGAAACTAGTAAAAAGTCTTGCTTAAATATTATTGCATTGTTTAATTGAGGTGAAACAATCCGAATCATAAAGCTAATCAGAGTGCTTTAGCAGGAGAGAAATGTGTTCAAATAAGCTATGTCTTGTGCTTAGGCACACACTGCTGGCTCACAGTTTCTGATCAGTTGCTGAGCAGTGGTACTTGGTACACTCTGGTTTTTGCTGGATTTCATTATGCCTTCTCCCAGCACTATCTTACCTTACTGCCCACTGTGAGTATTTCTATTAAAGAATAGTACAATAATATCATTTACCATGAAGATGCCATGATGATTTCCATGGGCCCTTACTGTGCAGAGGTAGCGAGAAGAGTAGAACTGTCATTGTGTTTCTGTTTTTTTTGATGCATGACTGTGAACTTAACCTGTGTTGATGTCAGTGTCTCTTGGATAACTCTCCTGTTTCTGCTCTACACAGAATAAGCTACCTACTAAAGGCTTACCCCATTCTCAGCCGCCAACTCCCTCTTGCTTTCCACCTCATCATTCAGCTGTTGCTGCTTCATCATCTGTTGGTTCAGCTTCTTCTGCTGTTTCTTCTCAACAGGTACTCTATTAAGAGATTTTTCATGTAAAACCCAAACTTTTACTCAAGCTGCTTGAGAAATGGCTTGGATGGAAGGTGCTGCCAGCAGACCTGTTGTATAGGTTGTAATTCACATTTAAATCAAACTTTCCTTTTTTGCTGTTGTTAGTTCTGCATGTTTGTAAGAGGAATGTCATCATCAGAAATGGCTCAGGTGGAAGTTGAAGGACAAAGCAAATGGTTAACATTTTTTTCAATTCTGAAAATTTTGCATTGCTGCTTATTTTAAATGATCAGCTGTTGGAATGTATCACAGGTGTGCTGAAGAAAGCTTCCCATTATAAAGTAAACTGGGTGCTGTGGGGTTGGTGGCATTTATGTTTCTTTTCATAAGCATATCTGTCTGCTCTGCGGGAGAAAACCCACACCATGATGGTTATTTTAACCACGTCTTAGAATGGACATGCCTTAGAATTGTATGAGCATTTACCAATACAGACATTTTATTGTTTGTTTAATTATTTGTGCTTTAAACTTCTGCATGTGAATAGCTAGAATACAGTTCTTTGTAACAGCAGACCTTATGGAGAGGAAACATCCATACTTGGAAAGAAGGAGATGACACTTGGGTCAGAGATACTCACTTCTTACTGCTGAGGCTGGTGTTAATGGGCTGTGGTGCAATGACTGCCTGGCTCCCAGTCCCCAGGGAAATACAGGGGACATGGCCCTTCAAGGACACTGCAAGCTCAGCAGGTGCCTCGCTGCAGTAATCCCCTAATTCCCTTCATTCAGCTTCAAACTAATTCCTCTGCCTGGATTTACCTCTTACTTTTTTGACCTAAGAGGTATAATGTGTGATGGGTTTTAAGCTAAGTCATGGTTTCCAAAAGACTGGGGGCTAATGTTCATTTGATTTGGAGATCTTCTGTGACTCTGCAAAGAGAATAAAAGAAAACCCAAAACCCAAACCTAAACTATCTGAAAAACCCTTTAGAATATGAGAACTAGGCTTTTAATCATATGGAAACTCTGTGAGAAATAATTTATTGGGATTTTAACATCACTTCTTGGAGAGCCTTTGTCCTGAGCAATCTTTTTTTTCTGGATATTTTAAAAACTGGATTTTGTTTAAAGGGCACTGAGAGCCTTGATTAGTTTGCCTTTGTATTTAAATGGTGTGGCAATAGTTTGTTGTTACTTGGTTTCACTCAGGCTGAGTTCACTTCAGCTGAAAAGTCATCTCTAGAGATGCTGGCAGAATGCAGCTCAGCTGAAGCAAGAAAATCTAGTTCTGTCACCAGCACAGTAAATATATGTTCATCTCACTGGGTAAATATTTGGCTAGTTAAGTAGGACTACATTTACACTTTGGCAGATCTACATGCATGAGCATTTTGATGCCTGCATACCCAGCTCCATGTGTTGTACAGGCTGCCAGCCTCTTGTACACTATGCATTTCATAGGTGTAAATGTGGTGCATTTTGTGTGGCATTTTGGAGAATTTTTAAACAGCAGGTCTGGTAATGATCAGGTGATCTTTGCTCCTCCTGTCAGGGGCACAGGTGGTAATAGAATCTGTCCCTGCCCTTTCACGGTCAAATTGTTGTCCCTGTGTTTTATTCTTATACATTGCACACCTTTCAGAATGTGAAAATTTTATCCTGCTCTATAAAGCACTAAATGTGACTAAATGTGTTGTGCTGTATATATAAAAGTTCAACAGTATTTCAGATGCACATTGTGCATTTTTGAGTGCTGTTCAACAATATGTTTGGACCTCTGTGCTGTGAACATGCCAGAAACTGCCTGTGTCTCTGTTATCTTGAGGGGAGTTAGGGTCTCAAAACTTGAATTTCTACTCTCTGTTCTGAGAATTATCATTAGCTGAGTGTAGACTTCAGTGTCAGAAAGTGTTTTGGGATTGATAAATCAACAGGAAGAGCTGCTGTGTGTTGCTGTCAAGTGTTTCTCCTTTTTCCCCAGCAAACAGAAGGTAATATAAGTGTTTTGAGTTCTGTAAGGCTTCATGATATATGACCTGTAAATATCAGCACCCTCCCATGGTTTTAAATAGCTAGTGCTGTCATTTTAATTTCAGGTGAGTTCTGAGGCTGTTACCAGACATGACAAACCATTGCACCTGCTGAGTTTTGCTTGGAACAGTATTAGTTATGGGGACACAGTTATTGAAAAGGGTGGCTATGTAATTCTGTCTAATTACACAAACTTGTTATTAAGTGTAAGTCCTGCAAAGGACACTTGAAAAGAAGGCTGTGGGACCATATTGTTTCTTCCAAGACATGCAGTCATTACAACTTAGTAAGAATTACCTTCTGTGTGCAATATGTCAATAACAATCAAAAGTACTTTCTAGCTTCAATCAGCTGTCAAAATTCACATAGTTAGAATTATGAGTTAGCCTATATTGTATTACAGGCTGGGCTTTGGTTATTCCTGTTTTCTGCTCAAGGTTGGATTAACCTTCAGAAAACTCTGTCCATCTGAGCTTTGCATGAGTGAATCCACAGCGTGTGTCGTAAGAACTGGGAAGTTTTTGCAATCAATTTACTCCCTGCAGAGCTTGGACCAACAGCTTCCCTTCAGTGACGTGACTCTAATTGCCAGCAGTAAGCAGGGCTGGGGTGTTTCTTACACACAGTAACTTATTACTCAAATGTTGTTTATCTCAGAGAGAAAATATACGTAGCAGCTTGTATGAAAAGTAAATAAATCACCCTCAAAGCAAAATAAGACCAGGAAAATAATTAAGGATATGAAAGAACAAAGGGAAAGCATTGTATGCTTTTGGAGGCAGAGAGCATGTTTCCTTTGTTTTATGAGAATGCGACTGAGGCTTACTTGGCTGGCTGCGCAGCTCTGAATAATAACACAGGGAAATACAGAAGGCAGCTTTCTCTTCCCGTGGTAATAACCACCCTGGCCAACCTGCTGGAAAGCAGCGTGCCGCTGACAGCTCAACAGTCTGAGGAAATCACAAACACTTGGGATTTTTAAGTGTTTTCTGGTTGCTCCCTGAAATTCACCGTGTAAGGTAACTCTTTAGGATTGCTGTTCAGCAAAGGCTTTAAAGCTGCTGGCGTAAAGCTGCCTGAACTGTGAGCAGTAGCCTGTTCCATGCAGACAGTGGCCCCAGCATTACAAAGCTGTGTGTGCCTTCAGTAGAGCAGTAGGCTCAGTAGGCTCAGTGTTTTTGAGGGTGGCAGGTGCTCTTGGGGCTGCCCTGGTGCATCCTCATCCTGCCCTGACGTTTTTGGTGGGTGACTGAGTGGCACTTGAACAGAACAGAATAGTTCTGTTGGAAGGGATGGACAACAAACATCTCTTGCCTGACCAAGTCAGGGCTGACCAAAAGTTAAAGCATGATTTTAAGGGCATTGTTGCTAAATTAAATTGAAATCTCACTTGCTTTTATTTGGAATGTGAATTCGCATTCATTATAGGAACATTTCCTTTTTAATAACATTTTTGAAGTGTGTATAAACATGCAATTTTCTTGTGTTGACTGCTTTAATGTTTACATGGATTTTTCCAATGGATGGAGAACAGAAATCAGCCAACCTGATGAATTTCAAGGAGTAGTTTAGGCTCAAGGATACTTTTCCTGAAATTCAACTACTTGCACTTCAAGCACAGCCTTGTTATTTAACTGATTGCTCCAGTATTTATCTAGTTCAAGGAAAACTTTCTGCTTCAACTGACTTTGAATACTTTCTTTTACCTTGGATCTTGTGGACAAGAACTTGTACATTACTTGTACATGTACAACGTGGCCTGGAGATTGCATAGCATATTCAGAGGTGCAAAATTTGGGGAGGAAATTTTTTTTTTTGTTCCATGTTCTTAAACAAATCAAAGGAATGTAGTTTTCCTGTAGTGGCAAGTAGCACTTCTTGTAGTGGTTTATAAAATGGTGTGCCACTTGGGACAGCATTGTGGTGTGTAATTAGCAGTTAACTTTGCATTTATTAGCCACAAGTTGTCCAGATATTGAATAATATTTTGATGTCTTTTTATACTAAACAAAACCAAACAGGATAGAAATTTGTCCCTTAAGTGGCCTTTGTAGTCTTAATGTGTGTATCTTGAACCTGCCTGGATATCAGGTTAGTTATGAGATGACTGTCAAAAGATAAGGGGAGCTGTAAAGGGGAGCATGTTCCCTTGAACTTTTTTATCCATAATAATTTTTGAAAACACACCCACAGTGCATTATAAGTGTTTTTAAACTTGATAGAAAATGTTTTAAGATTGTTTTGAAGTATTCCAAATACCGTTGCATTTACATTTTTCTCCTTTCTTCATGGTAACTTTCTGGTATATTAAAACCTTCAGTTAGCAGGAGTTGGTGTGGTGGCAGCAGACAAATCATTTCACTGAGAAGAGGGTGACTTCCTTGAGATCTGGGCTCTGTGAGAGGCAAATGGAGTGTTAGCTATGGTATCATGTGTCATACCTATAATGGAAAAAACCAGTGCCCTGAGTTCAGAAGCAGAGTATCGTACCCCTGGCCAGACCAGGATGGCCTTGCTGCATTTGCTGCCAGAGAGGCTGTGGGATCTTACATTGACTAGAAAGCTGAAATCCCAGTCAATACAGGAAATTTGATTTAGAGTAGAAGATACTTCTGTAAATCTGTGAGCCCTTTACTGTCTGTTTTCCAGGAGCAGGGTACCTACCTACTTGCTGCCATTCACACACTCATGCACACGCACTTTTCCTCTGTTCCAGTCCCCAGGCAGCTGTTTGGGCAGGGAAGCACAGACCATGCAGTCATTGGTCTGTTTGCTTGCATTTGGAGCCACAAAGCCTAAGCCACTGCTGGCTCCTTGCAGGCCTGATACATTTGGTTAAAAACAGCCTAACTTTCATGGCTGCAGCAGTGTGATGAGGCAGATTAAAGGAGAAGTTTTCCCTCTCACTAGCGTGGTTTCTCCAATTCTCTCTGGCATTGCAGTGAGTCACTGGGGAGAGGGCAAATGGTTGCCCTGTGAGCACCAACAAAACATTTCTGTGTGGGGCTTGGCTCATACATTTTCATAGAATGTTCCCTGAAATGTCACAGTTTGGGAGTGTTAATATGGAGTTCAATCCCACCCCTGTTCTGAAATGTGACAACCAAGTCCCAGAGAAGTTGAAGTGAACAATAGGGGTTTTTTTAATGTCCGAATGTCCAGCTCAGATAGCCAGGCAGTGGCTCCCAGCTCAGCCCTTTCATGGGCACAGCAGGAAGCCTTGAGGAGAAGCATTTGCTCCCATTAGGAACTTCTCAGTCATCCTCAGGGAAAAGTCTGTGGGCTGCACAGAAGCCTTCTGTGGCCCCACGCTGGTTACGCATGAACATGCTTGTGTTCTGCTGGGCTTCCCCTCTGCTCTTTCTCCTGCCTCCCTGTATCAATGTTTGCATGTGCCCAAATCATTCTTGTCTTTTTTTGTCTTTAAATTCTCTTTCAAGGGTAACTAAAGCTCTTCCTTCTATTCTTTATCTTCCTCCCTTTCCTGGTTAGACGACTGTAGGAAAGGTCTCACGTGCAATTGGAGCTGTGGCTGAAGTTCTTGTAAATCTGTATGTGAATGATCACAGACCCAAGCCACAGCTTGAACTGGTAAGACTAAACCCACAGAGAAACAGTAACTTGACTTAAGAGTAATGTTCCCAGAATGCCATCCTGACTTAAGACCCCAGTTGTGGAGCACTTGAAGCCTTATGAAAGGTGTAACACTATATGAAAGAGTCAAGTGCACATCGGCACAATATGCTGATGGAAATGTTGCTCTCCACGTCTTCTATTTCTATTTCTGTTACTTGACTGTATGAATTAAAACTTCAGGAGGCTTTTATTAAATGTAATCACTGTAGAATTAGTAACAAAAGACAATTATTACTTAGGGTGGCTTCTAAAGAAAGTTTTGTGCAGTACGTGCATATGCAGTTATTTTTAACACTCCAGTGTTGAATCACCGTGCCTCCTTTTGAAGAGGGCTGTTTCTCAACTCTGACACTGTTCTGTGTTGAATTCAGAAACGGTCTCTGGACAGAGCTGCAGGTTCTTGCCCCATTCCTCACTTACCATCTGCTGCCTCCACCACTCAGAGCTGTCAGGTACTGGGAAGCCAAGTAAGGTGTTGTGTGTGGTGATGACACTTTACTTACCAGCCAGCACTAAACTCAGTTGTTTCCGCTTCACTGTAACTATCTGATCTATTTAACACCATGGTTTTAAAAGCACATCTGTATGGTTTTCCATTTGCATGGTTGTTTGTTTGGAAAGATTCATTTTAATGATCCATCAGAGCAAAATTGATTACTAATGGCAGATCTGGAATAGAATTCTCAACTTCTGAGCACAGGACTGCGTGACAATGACAATTGTCAGTTCTGCTTAACATTAAAAAATGGTTCCAAGGCTTCCTTTTGCTCACAAATGAAAGATGAGTGTGGACTGTGTGCTACTGTCTGAATGTGCCTTGGACTTTTCCTCCTCCATCCCATGTGTGGTACCTCTCCTGTGGCAGCAGGGATAGTGGAAGGGGAGGGAGGTGGTAGTGGATGTGGCAGGCACAGCACGCTCAGCTGTACCGACCTGTAACCAGCCATAATACAGTAATGCAAAGTAACATCCTCATACCTGCCTCTAATAAGAAAAGGGAAGTCCAGTGGCATCTAATCAATTTCTGGTTCACTTTTCTGTACCTTTTGCATGTGTGTGTAAGAGGGGATGAGATTTCGTGGCAATTAAAGAATGTTAATTACCAGCCTAATTTCAACAGACTTTCAAAATAGTTTCATGTGATTAATATGGATTGTATTTTAAATGCATTAAAGGTGTTCTGAATGTTGTGGTAGGAAACAAAGTGATTTTTAAAGCTAGCCAAACCCCAGGTTGGGCTTTAGTCTTGGGAGGAACACAGCTGAGGGGGGAGGCACAGCTGTGGCGATGGGAAGGGTGGTTCAGACAGCAGCTTTGAAGACTGACTGACTGCTTTTCCTCCTGGAACTTAAAGCACAAGCCTGCATTTTCCTCCAGATTGTGTCTGAACTGAGAGTTCAGGGTGTTTTTTTGCTTGGCTGCAGATGCAAGTCTGCTGTTTGAGGCTGGTGAGGTGTGTCTTCACCTTCTGAGAGAGACACAAGTCCCAGAGCCAGGATGGTGCAGGGTGAGCACTTGGGGATGATGCTGCTCTTGGACCTGAGTAATCAAAATGTTGGTGAACTCACAGAGGGAAACTGGATGCAAGTCCAGCATCAAAGTCACCCCTTTAAAGTCCTTGTGATGTCTGATTTATTAATTTCTTCATAAACCTACAGAATTGCAATAATGAGTAATTAAAAAGCTGACTGATGCCTACTGTAATTTTGCTTGGAGTGTGCTGTGCAACCCTTCAAGCAGCTAAAGCAGCTGCCCCCTTCATAAGGACTTATATCTGGGTGTGGAGCCACAGCTTCATGTTCTGTTTTTATCTTTGAACAGGGTTCTCTGCGAAAAGAATTCCCCAAGTCCATCGGGGGGAGTGACATTTGTTATTTCTGCAAGAAACGGGTCTATGTCATGGAGCGGCTGAGTGCAGAAGGCCACTTCTTTCACAGGGAGTGCTTCAAGTGTGAAATATGTTCTACTACACTCCGCTTAGGAATTTATGCCTTTGATGTTGAAGAAGGTAATGTAGGAGCTATTTAGGAGTATTTTGAAATGTCTGAGTATTGGTGCTCTTCCTGGAGCTAAGGGGAAAGATCTGTCCTGGTAGCACGGTCAGGAGGAGGTCTGCCAAGTGTGCTGTTTGTGTCCCTGCTGATCTTTGAGTCCTTGTACTTGCAGTCCTAGTTTTTCAAAAAAGTTATGACAGACCTGAGCTGTAAATGAAGAAATCCTCAGTGGAAAATAAGTTGAGTGAGCAAAATGCACTCTGTTGAATCACAGGTCGAAGTAAGGGGGGAAAAAGGGGTGAGGTTTCTCCAATAATACAGAGTTATTCTTATCTCCATTTAAAACTGGCCATTAAATAACATGATCTATTAGGAGCAAGCCATAGCAGTGGCAGATTTACATGGATGCAGGGAGTGTAGGTTATTTCTGTTACAATGGTATGGTCAGGAGTTGAAAGCAGTAGGACTGACCAAGCACAGTGTGATTTATTTCAGGCTCCAGGCTGCTGTAGAACAAGAGGTTCAGATCTTGGGTGCTTCATCCCACCTAAATCCTCTGGGGTTTTCCTTTTTTTTTTTTTTTTTTAGTTTGGAATGGAATTATCAAACTGAATTGAAATTCCCTTGTCTCTTCCAAAGTATTTGAGTAGATCAGAGTATTAACCTGATCTCCCTCTGCAAAAATATTAAAGATTCAAGGTCAAATTTGTTCTTTTTCAGTGTGGAGAATCTGCAAAGATGTATTTTTTAGCAATTGACTTCTTTTTTTTCTGCTTGATGTCTTCTGTAGGTTTGTAACTTTGTATTTATGGGATGTTGGTTTTTTTGCTGTTTATTAATCTTATACCTGAGAGGTAGATAAATGACCTTGTATTACTGAACAAATGTGCAAATCTGTAAAAGAAACCTATTCAGAGCAGTTAGAATCAGTGCCAGGTTTCCCATTCCTTTTGCTGCCCAACTGTTCATTATCCTGGTTTCATTTTTTTTAATAGATGCAACAGTGATTTTTCAGTCCATATGCATGTAGATAACATATCCTGTAACTGATTTTTCCCTCTTGTAGGTAAATTTTACTGTAAACCTCATTTTACGCACTGCAAAATCAGTACAAAACACAGAAAGAGAAGGGCAACAATACAGATCCATGGAAAGGTATGGAGTGATTTTATTGCAATGCAATGTTGAGGCAGCTTTATCTGGGGCAGGGTGAAATACTTGTGTGTGTGTGTGGATGTTTTCTACCTCATGTGCAGTAAAATCAGTGCTAAAATACAAACCTCCTCATTCTGTGAGTTTGGCATATTTATAATCCAGTTCTCAATGGAATTTAGCTTTTCTATGCAAAGTACAGTTGAACTTAGGAAATGAAAATGTATATAAAGACTTCAATATATATAAAGATTTTCATTTCCAGTTGAACTGGAAATGAAAAGGTATATAAAAACTGAAGACAGTAACAGAAACTGGACTTACGTACTTTAGAATCATATTTAACATTTCATTTTTTAATGCTTTTTCTAAGGAGGCGATAGATGCGTGGAAGAAAGTGGAAGCCAAACCCACAGAGATCACCACAGAAAGCAGTTTGTCCACTGCTAGCAGTCCAGAGGACAGGTCCCCAGGTATCCTGACTTCCTTCTTACGGGGCACGCTAAGCTGGCCCCTGCGGGTGACCAGGGATCTGCTTGACATTCCCAGCCGCCTGTCTAACTGGATGCATGGTTTCCTGCACGCTACCCTCCTCCATTTCAGGGACAATGCATATAACTATACCTACCTGTACGAACTCCTGAGCCTTGGGGTGCCACTCCTCTGTGCTCTCCTAGAGGTACTCACTCACATGTACCGGGAAGCAGAGCTATCACTTGAAAACGTGCTTGAATGGGTGAAAAGATTCTGTAGGGTTTGAACCCTTCTGTGTGTCTTGCTCAGTTGTGCCTTTCAAATTTTCAGAATTAACAGCCTGGCTATTTTCTCGAGGGGAATTTTTGGTTTGGAGGGCTTTGTTTTTGCTCTTCGTGCAATGTGACGTGTGACTTCACTGAATGGCGGATTCCTTCCGACAGCAGTGAGGTACAATAGAAATTTTCAGCACAAAATGTACTGTATGTTAGAGCATGAAGGACAGTGTCCAAACACATTTCCAGAACCTGGAGTCAGATGAAGGATATTTTCTAGATTATTTCCCCACCTGTGGTCAGACCATTGGAGAAGATGGTACATTTTGAAACCATTTTTCTTCCTATTCTCCCCAGCTAATTTTTTTCTTTTTTCAGTTAGACCATGAAAAAATGTGTGTTCTTTCAGGAATATTTCTGACAAATGACTGGGGTTTGAAACCCGAGTATGGCATGTAGCTTTTTTTTTTTCTTGCTTTCATCTTTGCTCTAGGTTATGAGATTTTTACTTGCATGAATGTGATTCCAAAAAATCATGTACATAATTCACATTGCTCCTACATTTACATGTGATGGATACCTTTTGTTGATAGTGGGTATTATCTGTTCTACTAATTTATTTGAAGTTTTTCAATAAATTTGAAGAGCAAATGATAGTTGAGTGGAGGCTTGATTGAAATTTTAAGTCAAAGGAACTGGTAGAAAGTAGACCGGACATTCCTCAAGTCAAGGCTTCCTCATTTGGTAACTGATATGAGGCATATCAATTTATGGAGCACTCCTCTGTAACTGAAGTCACTCCATTCGTGCCTCTGGTCAGGCACTGCTCCCGGTCTCTTTTGGAATTTTTTAAAAATGCAGGTTTAAAACAAACATTAAAAGCCTAAAAATGTATTCTTAGGCGACAACTTCTTTGGTAATTCATTTCAACGTGTGCAGCTGGTGGCAGAAAGGTGAAATTCTATTACCTGGAGCAGCAGATGAGTAAAATTTTTTCAGATGTCCCTCAGCCTTAATCAGAAGGTCTACCTTAATCTGTTAAACAGCAAGGACACAGTGACATCCCAATGCTCATTGCTTTCAGCCTAGTTAGCCAGCGAGGTAAGCATGCTCCCTGCCTTTCAAGTACTTACTTATATTCAGAAGTTTACCAGGAAATAGGTAACCCAGTATGTGTCGCCTAAAATGAAAAGCACCTGTAGCATTTATTTGTAGCCAGGAGAATGTGGCATAAACAATAGGAAATATTGTTGCATTCAGTTAGTAGCAAAATTGAGGATCAAATGACTGTGCTGCCTGTGGGCTGGCAGGTCTTGGGGTTTGTTGTTCTGTTTTGATTTGATTTGATTTAATATAATGTGGGAAAAGATGATTTGAATTGTTTTGCCTCTTAGATATGAAAATGAAATGTGTCTGCTGTTTAAAATAAATGACAAACTGGATCTTTCTTCTAGATAGTTTGACTTTCTTTAAACTATGAGGATGAACTTTTCACTTTGTAGAGTGGTTATGTATTTTGGGGAAAAATTTGTTATTTTTATGCACAGAACTTGAAAAAGTGCTTGAAGAAAATTGTTAGATATAAGGTAGCATTCCTTTGACATAATTGCCTTTAATGCTCAATTATGTATTCAGCCAAACTTTGCTATGACATGGAGTGGACACAGCAATAATTACAGTTACATGGTGGCCATCTGTAAATATGTAATGTATCTGTACCTTACAGCATTTTAAAAACCTGACTTGGAAACCCTGTACTATTTTTAATAATTTTCTAATGATAGTAACTGTTTCACCCTAAAAAGGAGGCAGTCTGCAGTGTGGTTAATCCTGCAACACAGCAAACTGCTGGGCAGTCAAGTTTCCAAACTTGGGCTGCCATCAATTTTGGTTTCAATTTGTCAGTAGGAGAGTCTTTAGGAACACTTCTTCCTTTAAGTTTTCTCCTGCTGTTTGCTATGGCAGAGAGAGCATAATGGTAAATATGAGAAAATGGTGATGTAGTAAGAAACTTGGAAATCTCTGGCCAATGAACTTATAACCAAATTGATCTTACTAGTAGAAAGTGTAAAAAGAAGATTTTTAAATCTTTAAATAAGATTTTTAAAAAATAAAATTTGAATTAAATTAAAATTTGGTATTAGTTTTATATAGATTTGTATAATAGGGCATAAATACCTACACTTCCACAACAGAATTCAGGAACTTGCATAATGAAAATGTTTTCCTGAGGAATCTTAATTGCCATGCATTTTCCACTGGGGTTTTGCAGGTGATGCTGTTGGGAGGGCTATTTTATTGGTACCACTCCAACTGGTCTATTTTTTGACTTCTTCATCTTACTGTTCTGCTAGTAATACTCATAGCTGCTTGTCCTCATTGATAATTGAAAGAAAAAAAGGCAGTTTCATTTTGGCCGGTTATTCTTTGTACCAATGTAATCTTCCTGATGCTTTCCTACATAACCAAGTGAAGTTCTGTGTTTTCTTCCCTGCTGTCTTCTCTGCCAATCTCCCTCATTGCTTTTAGTCCAATTCAACATTCCGGTGCTGCACCCGCTCACTGGCTGAAGCCTTTCTGCTCTCAGGTGATTTTTTTTCCAGTTCCAAAATTACATGACTAACCCTGTTGTTTGAAAGCATTTCATTGTGTGTTTTGGGGTTTTTTTTTAACTGTTGGAGCAATCTGTGTGTCTGGTATATTAACGGAGCTTTGGCATGATTATTTAACCTGTAGCTGAGTTCACAGTTCTAGAAAAAGTAATGTTTTCTCTCTGTGTCTGTGCATGTGCGCTTCCCTGTGCCTTTAAGGTAAGTCAGGCAAGTAAAGGGTTTCTTGAAAGAACTTGTTAAAGCCTTATTTCTTTCAGAGAACGGAAGGAAAGAACTAAAATAAGGTCAGGGTGTGATTACCCAGCTGATTCTCTGGGTTAACATGAGCACCTATGTGCATGGAGCTCACACACGCGGTGAGCAAGCAGTGTCTGAGCACTTCCCTGCTTTCCTGCTGGAAAAGCGTGGTATGAAAGGTTCTATAGACAAAGTAGCCAAAGCTATGCAAGTTCTAGCCTTCCACCCCAAGTGACATCATAGGCAGGCCTAAAAGTGCATGTGGCTCTCAGGCTGACCTGCCAACCTGCCAGAGTGCTTTGGTTTGAGTGGTTTCATTACCTGGGCCTTGCTTGGCACTCTGATGATTGGGTTTCTCCTGCTGCACGAGACGTTGTCACCCCTCTCCATGACCAACTCCCACCATTATTTTGTATGTACTTTTTACATAAGGTCCAGTTTGTTTAATCACTAGCTGACAATCTAGAAGGGGAAATGAATCCCAGTAAGAACCAAGGGCTCCGGCTGCCCAGCAAGTACACTGAAGGTCTGGCTGATGTGGTCAGGACCCAGCTGTCCCTGCCGAGGACCCCTCTCAAAGGGAAGGGCCTTTGAATGGATCTTAGGAGCAGTTTTAGGAGGGCCCAAACACCCTCTGCTATCTGCCCCATGTCACACACCTCAGCCAGGAGTGTGGAAGGCAGCAGGGCCAGAGCCCCAGGCTCCTTATCTTGCTGGTCTCTATATTTGCACAACTCAGCCGATTGTATTTATTTGTGTGGGTATCCTAAAATGACTTGATGGCTCTGAAAGTTCCCACGCTGTGCCCACACAGAATCTCGCTGGGTTTCAAACATCATTTCCTGCACAAATGGCTGGGATGTGACTCCCAGTGTATTTCAGGGCTGCAGTTGTTACAAAGCTCTTTGTTGTTACAAAGCTCTGCATGCTTTAATATGAAGGTCATGACATAAAGGTCTGCCATTTCAAACCACTTCCTATTGCTGTGTTTTTTACTCTCTGTTGCAGAGTCTTCCTTGCTCTTCCTGCCCAGTGAGGATTCTGTCCTTCTCCTCCTAAATCTTCTGTCTTCATTTTACTTTATAATCTTAACTGAGTATTTTTATTAAATAGTTTTTAACTCTGTATTTAAATTTTCACATGGAAATTCTGTATTTTGCACATGGTGAAAATTGTTTTAGCTTTATTTATGATATCTGCTGTAAACAAAAATAAATGTAGTTCTTTATAAGTCTCCTTGTTTCATCTCTTCCTTTTGTAAAGATTTCCTGGGTACAGAGACTTGGTAGTGACTTCACGCTGGTTTTGCACCTTCCTCTTGTGGTGGATGCTGTGGTGCTGCCCTGCTTGTGGCCTGAGCCAGAGGCCCCAGAGTTTCACTGTGGTGGTGTCATTGCATATGTGTCCCTTGTGATGCACATCAAGGTCCCTGAGGAGCTGTCCCCTTGCTGCAGATCCAGGGTGACTGGTGCTGGGATTTACCCTTCCTGGGGACGAGGAGCTGGTGTTGGTGGGCATGGGGCACACACAGACAGCACTGTCCTTCTTTCTTTGGCCTCTGCTACCTTTCCTTACACTGTTATTTTACATAGTAACATATGTCATAAAGGTAATAATGTGTTTGGATTTTTTGTTGTGTTCAGGAAAAGCAGGTAATAACCCAGGATAAATCTTTACCTTTGCTACTTGCTCTGGAGTGCTATTCCCAGTACCTGCTGGACCCCTGGAAGCTGAAGCTGGTGGTGACCCATTGCCTGTTAACAGTTGCCTTGCTTTATTTAATTACTTTTTAAAAATTTTATTTTAATTTTTGTATATTAAGCTGGTGGTGGAAATCTTTTTAAACAACAGGTTCTCCAAAAGAGCTTTCTTAAGTCCTCCTCCTCTTCATTTTCTTTCTTTTGCTTACTCTGCAATTCTTAAGGTATAATCTCTTCCTTTGCATTTCAAGAAAAAAAAAAAAAAAACAAAAAAACCCCAAAACAAAACAAAAAAACCAAATCCCAAAAAGAACAGTCCCAGGAGTTTAATAGAAAGACTGTGTGATTTTTTTTTTTTTTTTCATGAATTAAAACTGAATCTCACTGGGATTGTTTGAGTGACAGAAATGATTTTTTAAAAAATTGTTGCTAAAGACATCATTGCCAAAGAGGAGCAAAGGTTATTCTCAATGAATTATTCCATCTCACTGCCAAGGGAAAAGCCACCGGGCACAGTTAAAGTTTGCTGTCTGAGGGGGAGATGATATCCATAATGAAAACATGGGCAACAAATACCACTGAGAACAATACTTGGCTCTTAATTGTAACAGACAAAGCAATTGGGGTGAAAGTGAATTTGCTCTTGCACAGTTTACAGTTTTAGGCCGAGGCAGTGACAGGGAAACATCAGAAAAGTATTTTTGCCTGCAGAAGATGATGATTTGTTTGGCACAAGTGTTGAGAGGCATCACATGTTCATGCTGTTCTCACAGGGTTTTACTCATTCCTGCTAAAATATCAGTACAATAACTTGGAATTGGGGTAACATTTGAGCCTGGATTTACTTCTCCCAGAGATGCAGAAGGCCCAAGCAGTCCCATCACTAGCCAGTCCTGTCAGCAGAGGGATATGTCTTGCAGGAGACAGCCCATGCACTTGTGGACAAGGCAGGACACAGTGTCTGGATAAGAAATAAAACAGACCGAATGACCAACATGAGAGGAGGAAGTTTGTGTTGGTTCCCTCACTCTTGGTCAAAATTATTACACAATAAAACCACATATTCCCTGTGGTGCTGCTGAAGGAAGAGCCTGGTGGGTTGAGGTCTGTGTGAATGTAACAAGCTGGTTTGGGGCTCCTTATCTTGCCGTGTGAGCAGAGCTCCCTGTGAGCAGGAGACCTGGATCTTCCTCTTGCTGTGCTCTGGAGTTCTCTGCAGAGCCGGGGTTCTGTCAGCAGTGCTCCCCAGAGCTGGGATGCTGTGTCCCTTTGCAGAGCTGCAGTTGTTGAAATGAGAGGCAGGCAGGCTGCTCCTCTGGGCTGCCCTGCCCTGGGACTGGGTACCTCCCTAAAACCGGTGGTTTCAGAGCAGGGAACACCAATGCCTCTTGGCCCAGTTAATGCCCTCTGAGACCTATGTCACAGATGCCATTCCAGCACGAAAAGGGCAGAGGTGGTGCTGGCAGGCTCAGGAGCTGCTCTCTTGCCTCCTCTGTACGCTGCTTCAAATTGGGTTCTGAGCTTGTCTGTTGCCACAAGCGCCATTTGGATTGAAAATAAGTACAGGGATGTGCCTATTTTCTTTATTAAATTTCTTTTTTTTGAAAAGCCAGGCTAACCTTTCATCCTCAAAGCCAAGCAGCGTTAACTGCCTAGGTGTCTGTTAATGAAAATCAAACATGTCAGCATCCACTAAAGGTAACCCACCTTTATTATAATTATGCTAAGCCTTTAAAATTAAAAAGATCTCGCAGGTTTTAAACATACTTGATTTGAATAGAAGAATACAGACAAAACTTCTTAAAATTGCTCAAACACCAGCCTTTCATTAACTCTACCAAGAAGAGTAATTTCTGTTCCTCTGAGTTTCTTCTAAATTGCTACAGCTGTAAAATGCCAGTGAAAGTTGCTTCTGTGTGTATTCCAACCTCAAGCAAAGACTACGATCTGCATTTTTCCACGGCATTATGGCAATTAGTTACTATAATTGGCTTTAATTCAGTTCTGGCTCACTCATTTCTCACATTCCAATCAAAACATTCAGTTTTGAAATGCACTGAGTTTTGCATTAATATTTATGTTTTCAAAGACATGATGTGTTTGCAGATGACTTGATTTTTTTTGCCTGAAAGATCATGTCACTGAAGATAAGAAGACATTATGTATTAATGCCTGATGCAAGTATACGTATCAGTCATGTAAATATTTCCCCAAGTCTCTTTCCTTTCCTTCATGAACTGTGCTCACACAAAAAGAAGGGAGGCTTTAATCTCATCAGGTGGTGGGCTCCAAACTTGTTTGAAATGGATGGAATTTCTGAAATGTTTTTTTGAAATGTGAAATGATGAAATTTCCATGTAGCTATAGTATTGAATTTGCCCTTTCAGCATTTGTTCTGCAGGTATTCATTCATTCACATCTTTGTTTTAAGGTTTTTGGTGCTTTGAATCTGTCTCCAAAAATACTATTTTGACAGACACTGGAAACTGAAAGTGTTGTTGCTGCACTCCAAAATCATAATTAATACATGCCTTAATATACCAGACTAACACAGATTGCTCTAATTAAATATATATTTACTCTCAAATGATAGAAGTAGTGTGCTATCATAGCAGGTTTTGTTTGAGAATCAATTTTTCCCAAAGGCACATATTCAGTATATCTAATAGGTTTCCTCTAAGTTTCTTTTTTTTCCTCCTTTGTTAATTTTTGTTCAGTTTGTATTAGCACATAAATGTGCACTGTCCCCTCAGATCCATTAAAAATCATGGAAGTCTCTGGCTCGCTTTGAGAGCTTCAAATTCCATGGCTTTATTTTGTGCCAGAATTCAGAAGTGTTTGTTTACACAGTAGGTGATGGAGACTTGGAGAAAGTGTTTTGCTGCTGAAGAACTTGTGTAGGTGCTGGCATGGGCTCACAGGAGAGGGGGAGGAGATGATCTCCTGGCACAGGGACAGGAGGAGGGGGCTCATCCCTGCATCAGGGATGGAGAAGCGGTGGCAGGAAAGCCTCTGTAGGCAGTGGTGTTGGAAGGCAGGCAGGTGATCTGGTCCTGCTGCCCCAGGAAGCTCAGTGCCACCCCATGGATAATGGGAGCAGCAGTTCCCTTCACTCTCTGCCACGTGTTAGCCACAACAAAGTGGAAATTGCTTCTGTTAGAAGTGTGAGGAGGAAGAAGGGGACATGTGGCAAGAACTGAAATCTGTGAAATGTCAGCCATCATTCCTTTTGTAGGAATCCTTTTCCAAGGGCAAAAACCTACCTGGTGGTATCTCAGGTGAGATGAAAAGTCGAAGCTGGGACAGGACATCGGTTTGGGAATGCTGCTGGAAGCCTGACAGGCTCCTGAGGCAGATCTGTGGGATACCTCAGTGGGATGTCTTCGTTCAGTTTCCAGCTCTGGCACAGGCAGTGCTCCCATGCCGCCTTGTGTGCTTTGAGCTCAGGCTGCAGGATGCAACTGAGGCTCTGACAGGTCTGAGCTTGGGTTTCACGCCTGTGGGCTGCTGAGCCCTGTATTTCAGCAGCACCAAGGTCTAACCAAGCTGGAGGAGTTTTCCCATCCCTCTGCCAGTCTCACATGGGCTGTGCTTTCCTGGACAGTGCTTTCTGCTCGGGATCTTGCCCCTGAGCTCAGCGGGTTCATTTCAGCTGTGCTTGCACAGCTCTGGTGTTACCACACCTTCCTTCTGTCCCCACGGCTTTCCTGAAGCGCTGCTGTTTTGTAAGCTGGACTCGGGTTGGTTTTTCTTTTATTGCACAGTAAGAAGTCAGGCAGTAAAGCGGGCTGGGTGTGCTACAGATCCATTTGTGGTCTGCTGAGTTTCCTAATGCTGGTTTTTGATGCCAGCTGGTGTTTGCTTTCACCATCAGAGCTGCCCACGTTTGTGAGTAACTCCACTTTAGAACTGCCCACTGCTGTCAGAGCCTGAGTCAGCAGCTCCATACAAGGCCAGGCAGGGTGCACTTGCCCTGTGAATGAGTGATGAGGTGACACAGTGTCATGGCAGGCCAAGAGCCTCAGGATTGCCAGCCGGGAATGCAGGATGCCAGTTGGGCCGGAGCCTTGAGTGCGGGCCCTGTGCTGCGTGGGGCAGCTGCACAGCAGGGAGGGTGAGCCCCCTGCCAGCCCTGGGTGCCGGGCACCCACACCCCGCTGACCAGAGCAGCACTCTGGATTTTGGTGACACCTTTCACCTGAGGACCAGAAAGCCCTGTGCCAGTCCTGAGTGGCTGGGGCTGTTTTGGGTAAGTACTGCTGTACTGTTCCTGCTTCACAGCCCCCAGGGTGTGCCACAGGCGGCAAAACATCACGTGCTCGCTGCAGGTTGGGACAGCTAATTGCAGGAGGTTTCATTCTTCCTCCCTATCCCCCAAACAGGGCCCACAAGGAATTGTTCCTTGTCTGCTCTTCCATAGCTGTGGAGTAGGGGTGGAGCTGTCTGCCCTCACGGCAAGACAGCTGTGGCAGGGTCCCCTTTCACACCAGCAGCAGGGAGGGATAATTTCTTGTCCCCTCTGAGGGCCCTGCT